CATCATGAGTTCTTGCCACAGGGTAGAACGGTCAATAAGGAATATTACCTGCAAGTTATGCGCAATTTGCGCGAAGCAATCCGCCAGAAACGCCCGGATTTGTGGAAGAACAAAAATTGGCTTTTGCACCATGATAACGCCCCTGCTCACACATCGTTGCTTGTGCGCGAATTTTTGGCCAAAAACAACACACTAATGATGCCGCAGCCACCGTATTCCCCAGACCTGGCCCCCTGTGACTTTTTCTTGTTCCCGAAACTGAAGAGGCACATGAAAGGACGACGCTACGCTACGATTGAGGAGATAAAGACGGCATCGAAGGAGGAGCTGAACAAGATCACAAAAAATGATTTTTTGAAGTGCTTCGAGGATTGGAAAAAACATTGGCACAAGTGTATAATATCTGATGGGGATTACTTTGAAGGGGACAAAATAGATATTCATGAATAAATAAATAATTTTTTGAAAAAACACAAAATTCGCGATACTTTTTGAACAGACCTCGTACATGTTGTACATAATAGTTATATTTTTGAGTGAGAAATTGATATAATGTTGATATAATGTTACTCTCTCTATTACTTATTAACAAAGATTGTTGTAATGTAGATATCTTAGTAAACACCAACCAACAGTAATATTAAATCAATATTATAATTTTCCACTCAACACAATATACCACCAGTAACATTAAATCAATATTATAATTTTGCACTCAACACAATATAAATGCAATATAACATATGTTGGGTAAAAACTAGCTCATCAGTTAAAGGTTAAGTTTAAATGTTAAAAAATTAATAATTTTTCGCTGAAACTAGTATTTTAAAATGCACTGACTTTAATTAATTATTTTTTTATATAAATTAAAATAATTTATCAATATTTAAATCATTATGACCTGTTGACAATAAAGAATAAGAAAAATAAAATAATAACGATCTAATTTGTTTGTCTCTTTGAACGCCAGTGTTACTCCAGCGGTACGCTAAATACTGTGTTTATCCAAACGACTTGTTGACAGTTATTAGACTCTGGGATATTTGCGTGTGTGTGTATGTATATGAGGTTATTAAGCTGATGGGAATGTAATTACCGACAACCTATATTTACGTTATCGCCACTGATCGTGACAAATTATGGCGGCGTTTATAACGCATGAATCGCATCAAGGAGCTCCTCGTCACGTCGATGTAATTCACGTTTCTTGCTTGTGCTATAGCTAAGGATGTGCGATTTATGAAATATCGCGATGCAACCTTTTTTAAGGATCGTAATGAATGCGATATCCCTAGTAGCATAGTTCATTGGCGTTACATTGGCTTAATATTGGTTACATTGATATACATTGGGTAAATATATAATAAATATATAGTCAATATATAATCAATATTAGTTATAAATAAAATGTGAATAGATTATACAACATGATTGGACCAATATTAGCACATATTGGGAATACATTGAACTAATATAACTCAATATGCCAATATTGGTAACAACAGAATTGCCAATATTCAGAATTCTATATTGGCTATAAAATTCAAAGTATATTTACACTGAGAAAAAATATTTAAAAATTAACAAATATTTATTAGGTGAGTATCACTAACATATTTACTTAAATCAAAATTCTTTTTAAGAATTTTTATTTAAACCGAGTATTGTTTACTTAACTCGAGTAATATTCAGTTTAAATAAAGAAAATTTTGATTTAAGTAAATATGTTAATAGTATTTACCTAATATAAATATTTGTTAATTTTTAGATATTTTTTTTTCTCAGTGTACTTTACAATATTGAGCCAATATCGGGTATTTCGGGGCCCAACTTGTAGTCAATATTGCCTCAGTGAATTGTGTATCACAAATATTTTTAAATCGTACGCAATTTTATACCGGAAGTGCGATTTTATATCGCTAACGCGATTTTTAATTATAAGAAAACTTGAAGCATGATGGGAACCGTAATGTTTAAATATTAAATATTAAAACATATTAAAAATAAAAAAATAAACTCTCTTTTCGTACTGCATCAAAATATTCTCTGAAATATGCACTATAAGAAAACACAAGTTTTGCTATAAAAAAATAGTTAAAAATGAAAACATAATGAAGTTAAATGGTGTTATCTTAACCCTTTCAGGACGGGGAGTTGCTCGGGGAGATAATTACAGGGAAGTACGTATTTTATGGGTTTTTAGGGTCGTTGAATCCGAATCTGAACTTAGATTTTTAAAATTCTGTGATCCAAGATGGCGGACTCAATATGGCGGAAAAAATGATAAATAATATAAATATCGCTTAATTTCCGTGAAATTTGAACTATGAAACTTTTTAAAGATACTTTTTTTAAAACTAAAGTCGAATATTTGAAATTCAAAATGCCGACCAAAGAAAAAAGTTTTTAGATCTGACCCGACCTGATCACATCTGCTCATTTGTATTCACCTTTACGAAAATGGTTCGTATATCGAAATCTTCGAAAATCGTATATCGTATATCGAAAAGAGAAATACTAACATTAACATTATATCAAAGATAATCTTGTTGTTTCATGAGAAAAATGTTGTCAATAAATAATTATAATTAATTAAACGTGCAATAACATATCCTTATATATTGCATGTCTTAATAAGTCATTTTTAAAAATGCTTGAAAATTAATGATTCGGAAATAAACAAGTTTTGCAAAATGTCTCTAATTTTTTCCCGCATAGTAAACATAATGGTTAAATGATGTTTTTATCATTTAACTTCATGCTTTCATTTTTAACTATTCTTTCACAGTACAACTTATATTTTCTTATGGTGGATATTTCAAAGAATATGATGCAGCACGAAGAGAGAGTTATCTATTTTTAATATGTCTAATATTTATATATTTAAATATTACGATTCTCCCATTTTGCCTTAGATTTCTTTATGATTAAAAATCGCGTTAGCGATATAAAATTGCACTTGCAATACATAATTGTGATGTGATATATCGCATTCATTGGCTGCATTCAGCAGACACAATAGTTACACAACAATTGAGCAATTCGTCAATGTAATTGGTCTAGATTTAGGGGGATGGGAGGGGGGATCTAACATTAAAAACCAATAATTGCTGATTGCTTGCTTTTTCCGCTGAACGCATCAATTGTGATTCTTAAAAAAGATCGCATCGCGATACACAATTTTATAAATCGCACATCCCTAAGTGATAAAAGCTCACCGGCTACGAAAGGACAGTCATCGATGTTTTTTCGAACTTGTGTTCTGAAGTATATATCAGCCATGCTGCATCGCCTGAAACAGATGATAATCAAAAGAGAATATGTCTGATGAATACGCTGCGTATGTGGGAGAAGTTCCCAGCCTAACGCGAAGATGATCTGTTTTGTCGCCTCAGCAGCATGTGGCCGTGTGTCAGCATACAGCAGGATGACTTTGAGGCTTCCTTTCCTACTAAATGGATTTCGTCCAGAACGCGGCGTTCGCTTTTCAAATCAAACAGATAAATGCGCGCGTATGCGATGAAACACAGCCATTATCACAGCAAAACCAACCATATTTTTCCCATTTGATGCAAACGATCGGAAATGGTTTTTTGACTGATCCTCTTAGCTGTTCCGCAAGTACTTTTTAAGCTTGCGCTGCGTTTTGATTTAATAATACTTACAACTCGTCTAATTAAAATTTGTCAATTTGTCCAGAACGCGGTCTTGGTCTTTCAAATCAAATAAATGCGCGTATATGCAACAAAACACAGCCATTGTCATAACAGAAAAACCATTCGATGTCCCCCTCCGAACCCAACAACTTTTGTATGGGGTTATTTGGATTGGTGGCTCCCCGACAAGATATGTATTCAGGTGCGTAATTTCAAATATTTTGTTTTTGAAATAACCTCTGAAGGTCATTTCAAAGAAGAGCCTCAAACGTAAAATTTTGCGCTCTTTCCGAATCCGGGGTCAAAAATAGGGGTTTCTATTTAAAAATTTGATTTGACCTTTAAATGACCTTGAAGATCAAGGTCAAAGTGAAATTGAAAATCACCATCCGATGACCCCCTCCGAACTCAACAACTTTTGTAAGGGTTATTTTCGAATTGGTGGCTCCCATGACGAGATATTCAGGTGCGTAATTTAAAATGGGGCACCCTGTATATATATATATATATATATATATAACGGATAAATCGAAACTCTTAATTTTTAAATCCTCGAAACTTGAATCCGAAACATTTTAAAGCCTCGAAACTCTCAAAAGTTGGAACTACCAAAATTTGAAATGCTAATTATAAAAGAAAGTAATTGTACATAAAGCGGGTTCTTGTATAATTACACTCTTCCCTAAAAAATCAATCTTTCAACATTCAAAAAAAATATATGATTATTTTTATTAGTGGGAAACATTTTATCAATATGTATAATTATCAAAAGGAGTATTTTTGGTGTCAGGAACTAAAAACTTAAAAAAATTTTTCAGAAAATCAGGTTTTAAATATTTATTAGACATAATTAGATAGAATATCAATTAAACATAATTACATAGAATATCTATTAAACATAATTAGATAGAATATTAAACATAATTATATAAAAACTGAGTGAAATTATTATTTTTGAATATGAGAAAACTAAAACTAGATACAATTTCGAATTCTTTAGAGTTTTTAACTATTATCATCCGAATTACTTAAAAGATTTAGTCAAAGTTTTTATTTGAAAACACTAATATTTAAACTCTTTCCGGGTCGAGTCTGCTAGTCTAATATGTTATCTTCTTCATATGTTATAGCATGCTGTTGCGTTCTGAAACTGGCTCTGTCTTAAGTTTCGGGAGTTTCGAGTCACAGAAATAGCGCAAAGTTTCGAGTCCTCGAAACTTGAAACCTTTCAGAATTTCGAAGGTTTCGAGTCCCATCTTTTATCTCTAATTAATATCGTTGACTTATTAATATATTACTATCGCATAGTAATTTCGACTGTTCGATATACCAAAGCGGGATACATATGTGATGATAAAACAATTACTGCCGGCAAATTTATTTTAAAATTTATACATGGTGTGCTACATTAACTCACACACACACACACACTTACTTTTTAAACTACTGCTCGAGAATCGAGGATACATTAATGAAAAAATAATGTATATAGAAATAAACTATATGAATAGTCATGATCACGAATGCGCTTAGTTAACGGCGATCTATGTGAGAGATACAAAAGAATAGGATTGAACAGTTACTTTTAGCTCTGATCCATCGCGTTCGTTTCGTTCACGTTGCTACCGCTACAGTCCTTCTGTATTATCTCGAAGAGCGGCTGCAGATCTGGCGTGCCTTTGATTTGTCCGACGAATTCGCTCAACGATGGATTTTTGTCTGCAAGCAGAACACGTCTCGTTGCGCTGCGCTGTTCAACTCAGATCTCTTGAACTGTTGGTCGTGATTCTCTTAAGTGATAACATCAGAAGCGAGAAAATACACGTTGAAACTTTTTGGAAAATACGTTGAAATAAAAAAATATTTACAGGAAATAGCACAATCGATGGAACACATCTGCAAAATTGTCCAGCCACTTTTCTTTTACTCTGACAATCAATAAATAACCGTAAAATTAACATAATAGAATTATGAGAAAAAATAGGTTGCATGTTAAATATTATTTTACGGTAATTCATTAATTATTTAATCAAAAGTAAAGTCTTCGGGCTACTTTGCAAATCTATTCGATCGATGTTGATGTGATTATGGGTACATTTTTTTATTTCAACATTATTTTATTTTGGACGTATACATCTGTTTATTTTGCAACAATTTTGAACATGTATTTTCTCGCTCCTGACATCATCACGTCAAGAGATCCATGGGAGACCATGAGTTTTAAGTGAATTCTACTTACCCGCATCGGGAATAGTTAACAACGCTGCTACAGCTCGCAGCGCGGAACGTTTCAACTCGTCTTGCTTCTCGTACTCCTGCTTCACAGAGTTCGCTTTCACCTTCATCGTGCAAGTGCTCTTCAGTGGCTCCACTAATCGCTCCAACCCTGTATAGTAATACAATGGTAAAGTATATATCTCAAGAAAATTCTAACTTTTTGTTTCTAATTACGTAAAATCAGGGTGGAAAGTATTTGTAGCGTCATTACCATTATTTTTTCACTAAAGACTTTGTTAGGTGAAGAAGTGTTGGAAAGAAAAAGAAAAAGGAAATTGGTAAGATTTATATAGAGAGAGAAACAAAAGGGTGAAATTTTATTATAGAAATAAGTGGGAGATTGAAGTATTGGAAGATATAAAAAATAGTTGAACTTAGAAATAAAAATAACTAAGAGAGAAAGAGACTTACAGTAGCAATAGGAGTAGGATTTCTAGTGTGAAATATAATAGCAAATATAAAGAAATAAAAATAGAAGAGGAAGTAATCCTAGATATTTAAAGAAGGATAATTTTGATAACTTAAGGAAAGAGTGAGATACTAGTTAAGATATGAGAATTTAAAAAAGATAAATGAATATTAGAAAAAAGAAATAGACAAGTTATGTGTATTTGTTAGCAGAAGGAATTAAAATAGTATAAGACATTATATGAATGTGTCAGAATAAAAAAAGATAGTTTAAAGAGTTAGGAGATGATAATAAGGCAATATGGAAAAGGATTTAAGAAATATGTAATGGTTAATTAAAATAGTAATAGATGATAGGTGAAATAGGTTAAGGTAGAAAGAAGAATATGATATAACATATGTAACGTAAGGATAAAGTTGAAGATTAAGAAGGCATTTTATGTTATAATAGAATAGAGTTTGAATAAAGTTTGTAATATTAGGATAAATATATTAGTTAAATAAGTAATAATTAATAAGTAATAATTGGTTAAATAGTTAAACCAAGTCTCCTTCTTGATGGTGTAGTTGAAGTAATAAATACATACATTAACGATTTGATAACAACATTATTTTTTCATTATGGTAATGGTAACGCAATTACATTTTTGGCTGATGGCAATTAATGTAATCAGTGCTTATACCTGCAGAACACAGGTATAGAATGGACAGAATCGAATTCTAAAAAAAATTTCAAAACTTAATGAAAAAAATAATAGAAATTATAATGATGCATTACTTCTTATATAATGATAATAAGTTACTTATTAATATATAATGGTAATAAGTTACTTTTCTCAATGAGTAACGTATTATTCTTCAAAAGTAACTTTTCCAATCCTGCTTATAAAATTGATAAGAATTAATATTTCAATAATTAAAAAGTGATATCTCATATGTGAGAAAAAAATTGTAAGTTTCTAGAAAAAACAAAAAACTATTTTACAATTTTATTGTGCTTTAAGTGATTGAATTTTTTCTATATTTCTTGATTAAGATATCAGATAAAGGTAAAACGCTTTTAGCAAATTGAGAAAAAGAATTCTAAGAAGAATTTGATAAACTAAAAATCCGGAAACGTGTGTGGATGTGTGTGTGCGGCCATTTTTGCAGATACGAGATATCGCTTCTCCAATTATCGATCTTTTTTTTTCATTTTTGAGTTTCTACATTTTTTGTATGAAACATAACGGTAAATTCAAATTAAAAATTTGAAAGATAATGAGACTGCAATATCATATACGATACTTACTTTGCAAAACTGCGGTTGGACACAATTGGGCAAGTCGCGCGGTCATAAGGTAAGTTAACATTTTGATATCGTAATGATCTCTGAGACCGTTCTCCACATGATTCAGGAACTCGAAGACGTCCAGTCTATCAAGACAAGAATCCAGCAAAGTATACATGCACTCAAATGCCGCTTTTCGAAGATCCAGTCCGTCGTCCACCGTGTGCTTGAATGGACCCATCTCGACTTCCCTTATTAGTTCTTTCTGCACATTGAGAAAGATTCGTTGTGTCATACACCGAAGTTTCAACGTCTATGATTACAGCCAGCTAAATGTTAACTTCTTCAGAGATATTGACACATAATTTTGCTTTAGAAAAATAGTACCTTTTACTTAAACACTAAAAATTTTAAGCTTCCCCTTTACTTATTTCATCACCCACTAAAATGGATACCATTGTTTTTTTCTAAAATATTATTTGAATAAGTGAAAATTACTCATCTCTATCTTAATAGTACCACAGATTATCACAACTTTTCTCGAGTCAAGGTTTTCAATATGCACTGAGGGAAAAATATAGTTGGTTCCGGCGTCAACTATACTTTTTTGTGATTTTAACCAGAAAAATAATTAGAAGAACAATCTTTCTAATAACACTTACTAAAACAATGGTTTTCCTAACTATTTTTGTAGTTAAAATCACAAAAAAATATAGTTGACGCCAAAGGCAACTATATTTTTCTCTCAGTGTGAGTAAAAGTTATTTATACTATTTTTCTAGGGTTATACGTTCTTTTCTTTAATTCAATTATTGTCGACATATATATAGTTAAAATGAACAGTATTGTGAACAAACATTCACCAGAAAAGGGAAATGTCGCATGATTGACAGACGTCATATTTATGTCACATAAAAAATTTAAATCATTTTCTTCAATTTTAATAAATTCACTCCTGAAGAAGTTAATTAACTACCGTTAATTTTGCAATACCTTTATCTTCGTCTCCGTATAAAGATGTGGCAGTACCACGTCCAACAGATCCCTTATCAGCATCGGCTTATTGTGTGCCGCGGAATTAAATGCAACTAACGCTACCCTTCGCACGTTCAAGTCAGGATCCTCTAGAGCAATCAGGAAGTTGCCCATGCATTGCTTCAACATAATATCAATCTGTTGCGGCTGTAACGAGAATGAATAAATATAATTAATTGAATTATATAGGGACACTAATTGTAATCCATGACGACAATTGACATCGAGACTGATAAAAAATACCTGATCAGAAATTGTGAATTTCACTGCAGTGACTGTCGTTGTTCTCATAAGTGCCGACGGCGACTTGAGCGATTCTTGTAATCTCGGCAAAAGAGTGGAGGGATCGATCAATGTCAATTTGCCGAGGCATTCAGCCACAACGTTGCGAGTACCTTCCTCCGTGCACTCGCAATGCCTGTACAAAAGCATCCAGATCGAAGGTACGAAGCTCTGTAAATGCGACACACCAGACGGACTGGCCGACTGGCACGTAATAATCTGCAAACGAGATACAGATTAAGTATTTTAAGAATAATATTATGATTTCACATAGATTCAAAATGAATAAATATCTTAATCTTTACTTCTTTCAGAGAATGCAGAAGCAGATATTGACGTTTCGGCTGAGCCTCAATCTCCTGAAGTATAAAAGGCAGGTATTCGGGGAGATTTCCAATCGCGATGTTGCCCAACGTATAGCTGGCTGCAGATTTCACCTCTTCCGAGTGCGATGAAAATGAACTTAGAATCGTATGTTTTAGCGAATTGATGGTGCTCAAATCCCTGCGAGAAAGAGAGAGAAATTATTATTTGAACAATAAATATCTTTAATTCCCCTTGCGTTGGCTTTTAATTAACGGATTCGTAAAATCTATCTATTGCTTTATTACATCTTTGTTGGCACTCTTATTTTTTGCTGCTTAAACACATTGAGGGTCTGTGAAACTCAGTAACTTTCCTAAAACGTTCTTATTTAAATACTTATAAATGCATTTATCTAGTGTACAGATATTACAGTTTTGAATGTATAAAAGCAACAGTTATAAAATTTGTCGCGATCAGTATGTTTAAGGCTCCTAGCCTCTCGCATTGTCTATCTCTTTTTAATGATGTCAGAAGCGAGAAAATGCATGCTAAAAATTCTTGTGAAATACGTTGAAATAAAAATATATATCCATAAAGTAACACTCGCAATCGATTAAATACATTTGTAAGATATTTATTGTTTTAACCCTTCTGTTCTAACAATCAAATTACAATAATTTATTGTAAATTAACCTGAATGCGAAAAAATAGGTTAAGAAGATGAATTGTATGTCACATTAATTTACGACAAATTATTAATTGTCAAAGTAAAAGAGGAGTACACGGAATATCTTATAAATTTGTTTAATCGATTGCAAGTGTTACTTTATGGATATATATTTTTATTTCAACGTATTTCGTAAGAATTTTTAGCATGCATTTTCTTGTTTCTGACGTCATTAAAAAGAGATAGACAATGCGAGGAGCTAGGAGCCTTAAAATAGTTAATTTAAAATATAAATGATGATAGATATATTAATTCTACACAGAAGTAAAAAATTGTTTATACTATAAGAATTCTATGTTTATATGTGCATTACTTCAAAAGTTCATTGAAATTGGTGAAGTCGTTGGTATTGTAAATAATTACGATACATATAATAATGGTAATAATACTGTACATGTAATAATTTAAAATTCAGTATGTGGGGTCTTAATTTTTCGCTTGGGTCATTTTGATGCACAAGTAGCAAATTAGGATTAAGTTAGCAACTCGTTTTACGCATACTCTGTGCAAATTCGCAAAATTTTCTTAAGAGTTTCATTATTACAAAATAATCAAGTTAAATCAAGTTTGTGACCAACAACGTGTCCGTTTACTTACGAAAGTATAGCGTAGGAAGCGTGATTCCAACGCAAGGAATTATATAATGCAAATATATTTGAAGAAGGAAGCAAACATTGCCCAATTATCTTACACGTGTCTTCCTATCTCTCCGATAACCAAAAGAGCGAATATGTGTTGCGCATCGTTCTGAGGATTCTGGACGTCTTTCAATAACTGCTCCACAATACCCTGCGCTTCTTGATGCCACGTAATTGTCAATGCAGCTGCGCACTTGGCAAGGGAGTGATAAGCTTGCTTGTGAAGTACTGATTGAGTAACCGGCACCACTAGCATCGCGAGAAGCTCCCGGTACCCGAGACCTGGCACTTCCGCTTGAACTAGAGCTTGGAAAAACTCGAGCATCGAATTCAATGCGACGCCTGTACGACAGAAAGACATAGTATTAGATTCAGTACTAAATTCAGATTGTAAGCCATGCTAAATTTACATAATGTTATATAGAAATATTAGATTGGTGTAAAAGATGTCATTTTTTTATTCAATTCTCGTAGGAAGAATTAAAAGGAAAGTAGGAGATGTCCTCATTATATATCTAAAAAGCACTCGGCCGATGTTCATTTTATTCATAAGAATTATTAATTCTTCGAAATTGAATAATTTTGTGTTCTTTATTTGACATAAAACCTTTTGCACCAACCTAATGCTAAGCGCATATCTGCTAAAATTTCTAATCGGTACGACATTCAACAAAACAAGATGATTATTTACCTTGAAGAAGCGGGGATTTAACCAGGACAAGTATCTCCGGCAGAATATGGTCGGAGACCCTGGTCAAAGCGACCGGATGTAATTTTGCAATGGTAGTGAGAAGATTCAACGTTAACTGTGCGATATGTAAATCTGTCTCGCTTAATAATGCTGGTAACTCCGTAGTAACCTATGAAAAAGAGAATTTAAAAATAATAAAATAGTCTAATCATTCATCAATTATCAATGTACACAGCAATATTAACCACTTGGCATGCGCGCCAAAAGTCGTACGCTTCATGCGAGAAGAAACTCGCCTTACTTACTACGTACTTCTATGCTGGAAATATATTCTTGAATTTAAAAAATTACTCATCTTATGTTTTCGACATCAAAGAATCCAAATTTTATGTAAAAATTAAAGAATTTTCAAATTCCGATGCACTATCGTCTGTTTAATATGCACGGAAAATTCTTTCTTTTACATTGATTTGAGAACTAAGATTATACTCCGAGGTCGTGACTCACATTACCAACAAATGCGCAAAGGTTAACTACGTTTATGTTTTAAAAATGTTTATTACAATTTGACTTAACAAACAATATTATAAAAGTATAATCTTAGTTCTCAAATCAATGTAAAAGAAAGAATTTTCCGTGCATATTAAACAGACGATAGTGCATCGTGGATTAAAAATTCTTTAATTTTGACATAAAATTCGGATTCCTTGATGTCAAAAACATAAGATTAATAACCTTTTAAATTCAATAACATATTTCCAGCATAGAAGTAAGGCAAGTTTCTTCTCGCACAAAGTGCGCGACTTTTGGCGCGCGTGCCAGTTGTGGCACTGACAGGGATGCGCTTTTTGGCGCGCGTGCCAGTCAATGATCAATGTTCCATTACTTTATCAAGAAGATCCGCATGCAGAGCTGAGCTATAATTGTGCACCAACGTATCCAAAAGGGGAAGAGAAGAAAGTTTTAGAGCTCGTTGATTTTTTCTCAGGAAAGATCCAAGGATGGGTATCGCATCCTCCTGCAAACCAACAACGATATCTCACGTAAGCACAGGAGAGCTTTGTAAAATTTCTCTTCACAGATTCTTTAAAAATTTTCTACACAAATTGCGATCTTAACAGTTACACACCATGATCGGCTGCAGGTCTACTCTTAGCGGAGACGCAGCTATACACGTTAGAGCCTTAACAGTCGTAAGTCTAGTTATCTCGTTGCGCAGTCTGTCCAAAAAGATAGGCAGGCATATGTGCAACTCGTTCGATAAGGTATCGCCAAAATGTGCGAGAATTTGGCCCATGCAAGCGATGGCTCTCTCTTTCACCTCCTGATCTATGTCCGCCGTTTTCAGTCTCTTCAAGGTGCAGTGATATATCTCGCCGGACAACGAAGTGAAGTCGAAGTAACATGGTTTATCTGTGTTAAAGTGAGGCGTTTAACGCGAGCTCATTATCTTGCCTTGCGTTTCTCTTCTTCTTATATTAAAAAAAAAAGAGAAATGTGGAACGCGAGAATCAATTTATCTTTTATTTATTACTATTTGTGAATTAATTCCCAAACGTTTGTTCCCAACGTTTCGTGAGTATTTCAGTTCACTTTATTTAGAAAATATTTAAAATATTTAATCAAGTTGCTCCCTAACAATGTGAACTGAAATATTTACAAAATGTTTAAAATAATTCTACAAAAAGTGCGGCTCCAACCCGGAAGCCAACCGGGAATTGAGCATTTCCTTACATCGCGAAAGCTTGAACTGTCAAAATAATTAATATTCGAGACTTTCGTGAAAAAATACTAGGTCTGACTTCCGGGATGGAATCATGTTTTTTGTGAAATTGTTTTCATGAACATTTCATAAATATTTCAGTTTACTTTTATAGAAAGTAAAGATCGGAGAGAGAAGCAACCTAAGACTAGTCAAATATAAAAAAAAAAAACTTCCAAGAAATAACAAATAAAGTCTGTTTAGCTCAAGACAAAGTTGCACTTTTTGTCTTTACAATAAAAATAAGTATATAATTGAGCAATAAAGAAAATAGAAATGAAGTTCCAGTGTTATACTACTGCAGGTAAAAAACAGGTATAAAGATTGGACCTGATTTATGTGAGTCAACTGGTTAAAAGAGTGTATTTTACTTTATTTTGTTATAGCATCAAACGTTTTAACACGATTTATCCGTAAGTGTTAAAACGAAGCTGTCTAACACGAATTCGTGAATGACAATGTTAACATTAAAATGTTAACTAAGCTATTTCAAGCTCTGTTAATATAACAAAATAAAATAAAACATGCTTTTTTAACAGAAATTGGCTCACATAGACAAATTTTTATTTATTAACGAAGTAAAATATTCTATTAGTATTAGATTGCTTCTTGCTTTGGTAAAATGAGCTGAAATGTTGACGATATGAATCCATGAAGAACGCGACATCAATCCGGAAGCCAAATTGGATATCAATTACTCTTTTATCATTATAATCACAAGAAAAAGTGAAATTGATGGTAAATTGGCTTACCATGAGGTCTGATGACTTGTACAAGTTGCTGCAGTACAAGCAACGCTTCGGCGGTGATCTTATAGAAAGGATCTCCCACAGCCGTTATGATCGGTGGTGCCAAAACGGGCATGTGAGTGTGAAACGCCGTGGGCTCATGTGTCACTAGCAACGTATGCACAAAGGCCAACGTGTCGATCTTCATGTTCGAAGATGAGTTCTTGTCTCCCAGAGAGTATTGTATGCCAGGAATCAGTGCTGGGATATGATTGGCTAGAGCACCGGGTAAGACAAGTACTAGTTCCTTCAGTAAGGAGAAGCAATCCTGCCTCGTCTTGATGCTCTTTTCCTTCATCTGCCGATGGACCGCCTTCACTATTAACGGTACTTGCTGTTGCAACAACGAAACGGGCCCGTCGTCGTCTTCCATCGCGTCGGGATCAAGTGGTACGCCAGTGGCTGGCCTGGTCTGCCTCAACAGAGCAATGTATGCGTGGAAAATGTCGGATTTAACATTCTCTTCTCTTTCTGCAATAATATCAGTTACATAAAATTGAGAATTGGATAAGTTAATTTTATATTTAATTAAGTTAAGTTTAATGTTAACGACTATAAAATTAACTTAGTTACGCGTTAAAAGTTATATAAACAAAAATTAAATTTAAAATTATATTAACTTCACTTATTAAAGCTAAAAGTTAATAATGCGCTTAGAAAGACAAAAAGAGAAATCTTGCTAGTGTAATTTTTTAATTTTTTTATTCCGTATTGTGTGTAAACAATCCACAATAATTTTAATATTAATGAATTGAATTATATAAAAAAGTTAATATGCTGAAGCTAGTGCATTTTAGTTTAGTTTAAGTTTTAAAATTTTAAATATTTTATATAAAAAAATTAATTCGATTAAAATTAAATAATTTCGGTTTAAAATTAAATAATTTAAATTAAAAGTTATCAACTCTTTAACTAATTAACTAGTTATTATTCAATTTTAATCAAATTATTAATACAAAAAAATTAATGTGTTATTTAATTGACGTTCGCACGCGCGGATATCTATTTATGTATATTTTACTGGTGTTCAGTTAAAACAAAAGAGAGGACAAAAAGCACGTGTCTAAAGTCTATATTAATAGTTATTCTTTGAAACTTGCTTCAGAGACACTCAGATTTTAATTTAAAACTAGATGTGAGTTTTTCAACTGAATCACGAATTACGATCATAAATAAATAATTAGATGTAATGTTACATATATTATATAATTTAAATAAAAAATTTCTCATCTAACTCTAAATTTAGACGAGTACTTCACATAGAACAAATTTCAAATAACGACTGTTGACGGGCCTAAGACGCGGCTGACGATTTTAGCTCATACTAAACTATATAGGACATCCAGGAGACTTCAATATCAAAGGTGATTCCAATACAAATGGTTAAAATTAAAAGTTTAAAACTATAATTTTTTATATTACACCCACAGAGTCTTATAAATAAATTTCAAAAACTGTCATGTATGATACCTTTAAACCTGCATATCAGCGCAGGCGAGACAACTTTGTAAAGATCTGGCAGCAGCTCTCTTCTACTAGATACAACGGCCTCCAGACACTTAGCAGCTGCTCTGCGAACTTTCCAACTCATGTCGTCGTCATCGGAATATTCGTCCTCGGCATCCTCCTCGCCGTCCTCCTCCACTTCCATCACAACTCCTTCCCCGTCAGAGAAATCGTTCATATCGTCGTCATAATTATAGTTCGGATCATACGTGATATATATTAAACAGATTTCTATGATCTAAAATTGAAGATTCCGTTTAGTAATTCTGATATAATCTGCGCGATGGCTGAAAATAACTGTCCGAAAAATTCATCCGAGTGAGACATACCTTGTTGATGTGCGGCGTGATCTCTTTCGGACATCTATAGACAAAGGATTCAAATGCTTGCAGACAATATTCTCTTAGTTCATCATCATCCTCGTTACTATATTGAACGATCAATGGCATAACGCGTTCTATCTGCTCGCCGAATCTGTGACCTGCTTGTCGGCTGCAAAAGACAAATTTCGTGAAATTATTAACAATTGAAAGATCCTTTTGATTATCTAAACCAGAGCTCGAAATTGCCCATTTCGGCCGATTCTCGGGAGCTACGCCTTCTATCTTCCCCTTGGACCACACAAGTGACAGTCGCGGCTCCAAGCTTGACTGGCCGCGACTGTCACTTGTGTGGCCCGTTTGCGGCAAGGGGAAGATAGAAGGCGTAGCTCCCGAGAATTGACCAAAATGGCCAACTAATTCCGAGCTCTGATCTAAACTTAACATATATTGCCAATTACTAACCAGATCGAAGCAATACATTGGATATAGGTACGTATAACGTTCTTTGTTGCTTGGGTCGAGAGACCTTGAAGAAGCTGATCCAGCAATTTATTGTATAAATAATTGTTGCTGGATGTCAGCAGATGGCTGAGCGCTACTATAGTGCGTTTGCGGACTGCTTGACGTGGCGAAGAAAGTTGTGGGGACAGTGCGTTCAGAATAGTAGAATGGAACGAAACTAGGAGGGCGCCGAATCGTGACAGTAAGTCTGCGACGATGTCGAGAGCCTCGAGCTGTACGGATACATCTTCTTGCTGAAAATGCACATAGGCATATTATAATATTGTATTATAATATTATATTAGTTGTCATTAAAAGATAATTAAAAAATATAATTGTTATCAAAAGTTAGTTAAAAATATCGAAATTGGATTAAAATTCAATATTAAGTTTGACTAAGGGAATGCCAAAGTGGATGACTAGCTCGAAAATATCGATAGCATAGAGTCAATCATCATTAACACGATCACTTCTCGTATTTCTCGTATGGATATATAAGTGTTTATATGTATAAACATTTCGTTTTACTATATTTAGTGAAGAATCTAATTATGTACACGTACACACACACACACACACACACACACACACACACACACACACACACACACACACATTGATAGAAATCTTTCTACAGAATTTTATAAATTTTTAAGCTCTTACATTTAATTACAAAAGTACAGAAATTCTTTGAAATTTCCCTGAGAAGAGTAAACACATGTTCAATATGTATAATGGTTTGCAAAACCAATTTAGACATAATAAAAAGTTGAGATTTCATCAAATTGACAAAATCAAAAGTCATTACTATATGTGCGACAGGCTTGTCCAATTATATTGTCTAATAATTATATTATTGTTATAATTGTCATTACTCACTACAATAGATTAAAAATTTAAACCCAATAAAGTTGGTAGTTTACCAAATTATAAAAATTGAGAGTTATTATCGACAGACTTACGTAATGATAATATAATTAAGAATACTAACTGATAATACATGATACTAATAAAATAGTAATCTTAATAATAATAAAAATTAATTATAACATAATTAATATTAATAATAATAATATTAATAATAATAATAATAATAATAATAATTGATAACATAATTACTGAGCAATTAATAATGATTCAATATTCCAACAATATTGATAAATCATAGGAGGGCATACTAGGTGGCGGCGGGACGCCGTGCGTTCGAGATCTGCGTATCTTTTCGTTCCAGAGAGAGAAAAATATCGAAAGCGCGGTTTTGCTAGGCCGGGACTCGAAACAGGATCTTCCGCTTGCCGACCGACTGAGCTACCTGATGCTCTACGTTCACGACACTCTCCTTCGCGACATCTCTGGCGCGATCCCGAGCGCACGGCGACTACAGAGAGAAACAATGTTACTGTACCAAATGATACAGCTGTCAGTCTTTCAAAGTCAAAGGTTGCTATCCTTTAAGACCTGCTGTCCATGTATGCCCGTCTCCACTGTTGCCCCCCTCATCCGGTACAATTTATTAATAATAAATATAATACTAATAATAAAAAATAACAATATTAATAATAAATGATAATTACAATATTAGTACAAATAAATAATGAGTTACCAACTTCAATATGTCTAAACCATTTTACAAGCCATAGAATTTTTTATGTCAGAAAAATATGCTGACAACTTGGGATGTCAATTTTGAAATTTTTGTATTTACATTGTTTTTGTCAAATATCAAATAATGCTCCAATTAATTTTTGCACGTATTTTTATCGTGTAAAAACATTTGTATTTCTGTCACTACAATGTAAAATCTACAAAAAGAATATAAGTATTTTGACAGTAAAATTTCCAAACATCCCTTTAAAATTAAATATTAAGATAAAATATTAAATTATACTGAAAGGCGAGAAAAATTGATACTCACTTTTTCAATAGCACTGCTTAATTTTCCTGTTATACGTCTACAAATATTTGCGACTAATGCACTAGAACCCAAAGGAAGCTCAGAAATAACAGTCTTCAAACCAATGCTGGAGATATCGCGCAACTGCTCTTTATCAGATACCATGTTGCTACATAGAGCATCCACAATAGTTTCCACTTGGTATTCTTTCACTTTATTGACTAACGGACCCAAGCTAAAATTGTAAAGCGCTCTTACAATCATATTCTTAGATAAACAAGTATTAGAATGTAATAAGTTAGATTAAAGCCTGACTTACAATATGCTTTTTACTTCCTGTTTCTTGTTCTCTATCTTTTTCTGACTTAAGACTTGAGGTTTAAGTCAAAAAGAGATACAGAAAGGAAGAAACAGGGAATAAAGAGCATTGTAGATAAAGTTAAAGAGAGAATTCACACAGTAAACTGAAAGACAGAAGTCAATCAGAACTAATACTAGTGACTAAATGATAATTGATAGTTTTTGATTTTCTATTACCACCAACTCTGATTGGCTTCTGCTTTTCTATTAAAATATAAATTATTTCTAAGTTTGTATTGATAATTGACAATGGTATTAGTGCACAAAGAGATATTAGTGCACAAGATACATAAAATTAACACAATTATAAAATATAGAAATAATATATGTATGAAAAACATTATGAATCCCTCCTTTCCAATATGATATCTTGAAGAACTGTACCATTTAACAGCAAGATTTTGCACTTCTCCATTCTTGTCCTCTAATAACTTAAGTAGCATTTTTACAACTTTGCGTTCAGAATCATCATCCAACTTAATGCTGTCTTTTTGTAGTTCACTCATCAAATCATTAGTTGCCATAAATCTGAAGTCTTTGTCACTGGATGTCATCTACAAAAGATCAGTCATTCAACCACATCCATGACAATAGAAAAATACATATAAAAAATATAAATGCATGAGACACAATTAACTATTGGAGACATTACTTTGTAATTAGATATCATTCGTTTGATAAATTCGTTATTTATCGATTGTTCCCTACGATTGAAAGCACGTTACTGCAACTCCCGAATAATTGCATGCGTGAGCTCTCGGGAAACATTGAAATTATTGCAGTGGAACTGTTACAAGTGCAATTATTACAAGCCACCCTCGTTCGGCTACATATTCGCAAAAAAAGTTATTAACATCGAAACCGATTAATCGGGACCCGGGGAAGGTTATGTCAGGAGAAGGTGCAGCAGGCCGAAGCGACGAGTTCAAATGATTAAACAATAAATAACGTTTATTCGCTGGCCGTTATTATCGGACACACATATACTCTACCTTTTCCAGCAGGTTCGCTATTTGATAGGAGACACTAGCCATGGTTGTTGCGAAGCTCTTTCACAGCCGGTTCGACAATGATCAGAGACAAGCGCTCGGCGCGCTCCGATTACGTGCGGCGTGTTGTAACGCAACAAAAAGAAAGGAAAAGCAACGGATCTTTCCGAGAGTATAACGCCGGTGATCAGAACGCAGCAATACACCGGACTCTTTTGGGAAGGAATTATACGCAAGCTGAATTCGGCGCACGCTTCTTCTCTCTGCTACTCCGCCGCTGTCGGCAGCATCTTTCACTTAAGTCAGCGGCACACAGTGCTTGTTTTCGTGCTGGTTGCTTGCTGGATGAAAATATTCCATTTTGATTGGTGCATTTCCATCCATCTTCAGAAATGTACCAATCAGAACAGAGTATTTCCATCCAGCAAGCAAACCAGCATGAAAACAAGCATCGTGTGCCGCTGGCTTTATAGCTCCTATACACAGGACGCGGTAATGTTTGCCGCGCGGCGGAAGTTCGCGCGACAGCCAATCAATATGCTGCTTTCCGTAATAACCTTCTAGTCTTTACGGAAAAACAACATATTGATTGGCTGTCGCGCGGACTTCCACCGCGCGGCAAGCATTACCGCGTCCTGTGTGTAGGAGCCATTATACTACGTGTCTTGCGCGAAATCCATCGCGACTACCCTTGATCGCACGGATTCCCGGGTAGAATCATGCGATTCGTTTGGCCCGAAAAATTGCGATCTGATCTCGTGCTATGATTTGAGCGCTATTCTTCACTATGTGCTGCTTTCCGTAATAACCTTCTAGCTCTTACGGAAAAACAACATATTGATTGGCTGTCGCGCAAACTTCCGCCGCGCGGCAAACATTACCGCGTCCTGTGTGCAGGAGCCATTACCCGGGTGCACTCTAATACAAGAAGTGCTATAGATATGTGACATATGCTATAGTGTTTCTAGTAACAGAGTGCACCCAGGTTGGGAATCTGAACGTACCCTATGAAGGATGCTGTGTACGGGAAGGTGCATGGGATCTCTGTTCCAGCGCAACCTTTGGCTTGTATCTTTTCTGTACCCTACTTTCGTCCTCCGACTTCCTCTTTCACACGTCAGAGCTATTTTCTTCCCTGAGAACAGGACCTTGACAACACAAACGAAATTCCTGGATAATGTAGATCCTGTAGATTTTTCTCGGAAGAGGACGTGTGCATTTACAATTGTAACATCAAGAAAATGGAAAAAAAATTCGATGCTACCTTTTCGGCTCTGTCTATTTTGTATGTTGCTTTCAACATATCAACCTTGTCTACAAATCCTATTGAGTTGCTATAGTCCATTACTGTGGACACAAAACTGCCACCTTGATTCTTTTTTCTTAACTGTTCCACAGGCATATATTTGATCTTGAAACAATTCTTGAAATAGATTTACTGAGGTAAAATAGTTGTCAAAGTATAATTCATATCCTTTCTCTTTCAGTGAATTCGGGAGGTCTTTCACCGTACGGCCTCCGAGATTCTTCTCAGTACTTTCTCCTACTTTACCAATGTATATCTGAAATTCAAGAACATAACCCGAGTCAGCTCTTACCCAAATCTTGTAACCTTGTTTGTTAAATTTTGCTGGCACGTATTTCAATGATCTCCCTTTGAATCGAATCAACTCATCTATTGATTGCTGTCGCATAGGCTGGTACATGAATGTCCATGAATGTGAAAGTACTGACAAAAATGGGTGTAGCTTGTATAAGCTTGTGTAATTTGTCAAAGCCTGCTTCTCGCTTTTTAGGTTGCACTGCATTATCATTTAAATGAAAATGAGCAAGAAGCTATCCAAATCAATTCATAGACATTAAATCTGCATTAAATAGTTTTATCTTGTGATACCTTATTGCTACATCAGTAATCTCTGTAACTAGGCAATTTCTTTATCCCTTTAAGAATATTAATTGCAAAGAAATTTTTTACTTCATTAATAGTAGTAGGGTGGAGATTGTTTCCTCCATATTTTCTTGGTAATATAGAGATTTATTTGATAGACAAAATCTTGTATCAGTGTCTCTGGAAACTATTTCATAAAAAAAAGTCTATAGGCATTTTTGCGTCATCAGTTACATTAGATCCTGTTTTTTTCAAAAAATCTACTCGAAGAGTAAATATTCCATGGACACAAAGTTGACGGCAGGTTGCTGATTTATTTCACGTTCATTATTATTGTTATTACTTCCATTAGCATTACTTCATAAGAAACATTGTTCTGTACAATATCTTCGGCATCTTCCTCTTCATTCTCGTCCTCAAATTCCAACACATCAGTAGAAATGTCATTCAAGATTGTGTCAACAATATTACTATTAATCATTAAGTTTCCACCTTGATTTCTCTATCCCAAAAAAAAATAAAAATTGCTTTAAAAACACTTGGTGACTTCATGATACCACCTAGAAAAATAAACAATTTTTTCAGTTTATTATTTGCCAACATTAACGTTTAAGTTTTATAAGTTCTCTATGTACATCAGAAAAAGCAGCAAAAGTCACAGTTTACTTGCAACTAGGATATTCCAGAAATTAGAATATACCAGAAACTTAGCAATAAGCAGCATCAGAATTCACAATGACAAACACAAGCATGCATGTAACAATTAGCACCAAAATCGCACGCAAACTGAAGCGAATACTATAAGTAACACAAAAAACCGATAGAATGCATCACGATACACAAGTTGAACGATGATTTTGTTATGAGATTACTATGCCTGAAGCTATGATTTGGCTCTAATAGGTGATCTCACTGTGTTTCAGAGTTAAATTCGATAGAATCATTACATAGTATTACGTGTTTGCGACAATTGGTTTCCGATCGAAGCTGCAGATAAACATGGATTTTTTTTTTATAACTTTTGATGTAACGTTTCGAATTGATATGAATCTGGATCTTTATTTAATGATAAATTGTTAGCATAATATACATGGTATAGTTTTTCACTTGACAAGATAGCTACATATAAAAATATACTAATTTATTATCTATAGTTATTTTATATACTTATACACACAACTGAATAACATTGATTTATCTTCCAAATGAAATATTTTCTCACCCACATATTATAAATTATAATTTATTTGGTACAAAAATTATGCCAAATAAATTATTATAGTTTAACACAATTTTTTTTTAGATCATTTTTATAATAGTAACCTATGTGCAATTATTTCTTATCACATTTATAATTGCTCACTAAATTAAACAATGGTTGTTTTATTAATTTACCTCAAATTATCATGTTATCATAACAGAATGTACAATCTTCCTATTTTTCTTTAAAACAATGATAAAAATTTATATGAAATCTTAATTAAATACGTGATAAAAAAAGTAACAATGATCTAGTTCTGATAAATAAAAGTTACAAATAAATAACTAATCAGTTAGAGTATGAAAATACAAAATTGAATGACGAGACTGTCAATCAGACTCATCATCATCATCATCATCTTCTATATTTTCTTTGATATCATTCTTCTCATCCTTCTGATCTTCCTGAAACACAAACAAATATTATATATATAAACTAATATAGAAAACAGAAAAAACTGATACAAACATATATTTACTATTCATTTGTAATACTTACAAAGTTCTCGATGAAGTTTGACGATGAAGTTTCGCTTGCAGTTGCCTCAGAAGTTGTCTCAGACTTACTTATAAAGCAAGTAATAGATTTTTGCCATTTTGGTGTTTCCCTTGGATGGTAAGGGTTCCCGCCAGATTGTTTTTTTGCTGAAAACACATAAATCTTGTTGTAAATGTCTTTGTGTATCATCAAATTTATTGTCTTTATTGTAGAATTAGAAGAATACATGAAATATTACCTCCTTTGCTGCCAGTACTCTTTTTAGGAGTATTGATTTTTACAGGTGCACTCTTTTTTGCAGTTACTTTTCCACCAATAGCTACAAATATATACAGTACTATTATTTTCAATAAAACATATGAAAACTCTAATTCCTTAGTTCAGTATTGTAAAATTTACCTTTCCTAGGAACTCTGTCCGCTTTTGTCCTCACCATATTTTCACGTTTGTATAGAGGGTCGAGAAAATTTTTTTGCAAAATGTAGAAATCAAAAATAAGAAGACCCCAATTACTCCTTGTCAAAGTATCGTTACAAAATTTGAATAAAAGAAGCCAATCAGTATGGCCAAATCAGTTACTGGATATATCAGGTTGACCAATATTCAAACACGTCACTACATGGACGTAGGAAAATATCTGAACGAAAGGGTTGTGCTGTGTTCGGAAACGTCACTCGAGTACTCTTCCTCTCCTTTTATCTCACTCTTGTATTTCGCTCACTCCAACGACTATCGTCTAGTAGTGTGCACACAATGTGGTTGCGTTCTTTTATTTGCACAGATGTAGCTGAATGCATCTCGTGGATACATCAAGATTGTACTTTTTAAGGTTACTAGCTAGTGATGTACTGTCCCTAGAAAATAAGTTTTCCTATTGGCTATTGGATTGTCGTATGTCCAACATCGGGTCCCAATCAGTAATGTATCAGTATTGCTTTTATAAAAATTGTGAGAGAGAAAGGCAGTCTAATAATAATATCAAATAACATAAAAAATGTCATTAATTGAATTAGTACATGGAATGATTTAATACATGGGACATGGCCAGTTATTAAAGGATAAAGAGTCTTCAGAGTTAATTTCAGATGCTGTTATTAAAAATAAACCTTCAATAACTCCCACATTTGTAGTATCCATCTACATCTCATTAATAAATTAATTTTTCCATATTTTTTACTACAATTATCCCAGCAAACACAAAATATTACTGTTATATAACATAGACGTAACACGTACTCTTGTTACTTTTATGTTATATAGCAGTTATGTCTTTCTTTGTTAAGATTGTAATATTTCGACTATATTTAATACACATTTTTGTACATTTATTGAACATACGAGGGTAGTCCAAGAAGTACCCGACCTGACGTATAGATGGCGGTTGTTGTTTGAAAAAAATCACTATGGCCGAAAGCATCAACCTTATAAAGCTGAAGTTTGAAGTTTCAAGACGCTACGTTGTTTAGTATTAGTTTGGCAGCCATCAATAGTGAACGCTCTCAGTACATTTGTAAACATGGAGAAAATTGGTCATCGTTATGTGATACAATATTTTTATTTAAAAGGTCTCAGTCCAACCAATATCAAAACTGAGCTAAATTCTACTCTGGGGGAGTCTGTTCCCTCGTTTACAACAATAAAATATTGGGTGGCAGAGTTTAAAAGAGGCCGTAAGAGCTGCCAAGACGAACATCGCAGTGGTCGACCAAATGAGGTGACCACGCCAGAAATGGTGACGAAAATCCACAAAATGGTATTGGATGACCGTCGACTGAAAGTGCGCGAGTTAGCTGAAATGGTAGGCATATCAAAAAGTACTGTACATCGCATATTGACTGAAAATTTGGACATGGAAAAGCTGTGCGCACGATGGGTGCCGCGTTTGCTCACAATTGAACAAAAACAGCGTCGTGAGGATGTTTCAATCGAGTGTTTGGCGATGTTTCGCAGTAATAAAACCGAGTTTTTGCGTCGATTCATAACCATGGGTGAAACATGGGTTTATCATTTCACACCTGAGACGAAAGAACAGTCGAAACAATGGACTGAAAGGGGAAAATCGGCTCCGAAAAAGGCGAAGACAACTCCATCGGCTGGCAAGGTTATGGCGTCAGTTTTTTGGGATGTGCGTGGGATAATTTTCATTGATTATCTTCAAAAAGGAAAAACAATCAACGGCGAGTATTATGCGAACTTATTGCAGCGTTTAAGTAATGAAATCAAGAAAAAACGTCCGCATTTGGCGAAAAAGAAAGTGTTGTTTCATCATGACAATGCACCGGCTCACACGTCCGTTATTGCGATGGCCAAAATCAATGAGTTAAAGTTCGAATTGCTTTCTCACGCACCCTATTCACCAGATTTAGCCCCCTCAGATTATTATCTATTTCCAAACTTGAAAAAATGGCTTGATGGTAAAAGATTTGCTAACAATGAAGAGGTGGAGTCTGCGGTTGATGGCTATTTTGAGAAATTCGATGGTTTTCACTATAAATATGGTATCGAAGCTATTGAACATCGCTGGGAAAAGTGTATCGAGCTAAAAGGGGACTATATTGAATGAAAAATATTTATATATCTCATAAATATTATAAAAATATTTATTAAAATATATTCATTTATATATATTTTTCTCTTTTCCTGAATTTTTCTTAAAATTTCAATTTTATTGTTTCACACGCTACGTAATTAAATTTAAATTGTACTTCGAAAATTTGCTTACCATTGCTGAGATTCGAATTTCTTATTTTTTATTAATTTAATAATTTTAAATAATTACATTTATTTTTTTCATATATAATATTTGTAAATAGATATATTTACAAAATATTACTACAAATATTTATTTTTCGTTTACTATAAATATTGTATAAAATATTTAGTCTGTATTTTAATAACCCACACAGCAAGAATATCCCAAATACATCATAGCGATATCTTGAAGATATCACATATCCCAAATATATCTTTAGAATATCCTTATGATATATTTTGGACACTTCTGCTATGTGGGAATATTTTCAATAAAGATTTTGATACTTTTTCCTTCATGTATATAAAATATTTATATTATATTTATATAATATTTTTAAGAAATAATTCGAAATAAATATTTATCATAAATATTGTGTGTTGTCTGAGAAACGCACTACTTTCTGCACACCAAAGAACCGTATTCGTACTTAAGGTTCCTACACGTTCGGAACTCAGGCTACAATTTTTCGGCAGCCGCTTGGATTGGGATGCTAAAAGTTGCAAGCAATTGCACGATTATGCTTGCAACTTAAATTAAAGAACGGTCAAGATGTACGCAATCTGCAGCTTGATGTGCGCAACTGGATACACAGAACGATTAAATTATGCATCGGATACATCGGGTTGTATCTGTTGCGAATAAAAGAACGCACCCCTTGTGTCTCTTGTTAAAAAGCAACCATTGGTTGCTTTGCTCTAAAGCCCGTATCAGACTACCGACTGCACAGGCCGACCCGACTGCCGACTCTCAATGGACCAATCACAGTGAGGCGCCAAGTCGGCGCCTCACTGTGATTGGTCCATTGAGAGTCGGCAGTCGGTAGTCTAATACGGGCTTACATTACTGTTATGTCAATTCGTGTGCGGCGCCCCTGGGAACACATCTTTCTACCAAATATCTGAAAATGGTAAAAGGTCCTGCATAACACACACACACACAGGACCAATTCAGAGAGAGAGAATCTTTTTATAGTATTTTTACGAAATACGAAATGCTTGAAAATATAACGAATGCATTTGAAACACAAAAATTCAAGATATATAAATTTTCGTATATACATGAAAAATTAGATTGCAGGCACAGAATTTCTGAATTATATACAATTATATACAACACTAATTTTACGGTTTTATTATTTTTTTACACGAGACATACGAAAGAATTTTAATTCGATTGTTCAGCAAATACAGGATTTCGAGAACTTTTTACACGAATATTCTTTACTTATCTTTCCTTATCATGGTTACACAAATAAACGGAACCCCGTATTTACAGAGAATTCTCCAGACCCTCGCGATAATTCTGTACGATCAAATTGCTCTTTGTTCGATATATAACTTGAGTAATAAATCATGCGGCGAAACATGTCTGCTCGATGATCGACTTTTGGCTGGATAAAATTCTCCCTAATTATTGGATCTTATTAATTAGGTGTAACCCTGACGACGATTCGATCGTTCATTGAGAATACAAAAACAAGCTGAAATTATGCAAAATAATTTATGTATGTTGCACATCGCTATATATATATATATATATATATATATATATATATATATATATATATATATATATATATATATGTGTGTGTGTGTGTGTTACATTAAATAGGCCTTTCCAGATGCGCACACACTTTCCACGTTCGATGATTTTCGGGCGACGCACAAGGTTTTGTCTATAAAGAACAGGCGTGTACTTACACTCATTTGTATATTCTCCGCACACAAGAGTGCACACCCATTTTCAACAAGACTGCACGAATAGGTATTATATTACATAACTTAATTCCTTAATACTGAATCACAGAGCCCTGTTACAGGGCAAACAATAAATTATATCTCTGTGAGTAACTTCGCATAGTTCTGTGTTACATTTATCTCTTGCGCGCATCCAACGTATTAAAAAAAAATATATGTTTATATTAGTATCTACCTGTTTTCTCAAGATTTTAATATCCGATACACGGCGTAGTCACTTTCGCAAAATAGAAAGCATCCACAAGATGTGTATCTTGTCTTCTCATTCTACGAATTACACAAAGATTCAAAAGACAAATTCGTTCGAAAACGTGCGCGCTGTTTGACAGAAAGAGCGCGTGTTATTATACATAGGAAGTTTTATTACTGTATATTTTTTGTGAGATGTCAAATGTACTTTTAGATGTTCTTTGAGTCTTTCAACGGTTGAATATATTTCTCTTTTTTTGCAAATATTATTCTTAACATCTCTCAATTACGATTTTTTTCTAATTCCCTATGAAATTGCTGGTATCTCGAAATTTACGCTGAGATTTTCGGATTGCGCTAACTTAACGATAGTCGACAATTTCACCGCGACCCGTGCAGCCTCGTCGAGATCATCAATCGGCACGATCTTTAAGCCTGCATTCGCGATCAAAGCTTTGGCCTCATCAACGTTGGTGCCCTGTAAACACAAAACGTATGTCGCATCGTGTACTTCCAATTGATTGAGTGGAAACTTAAACATATCGGGGATGTACTTTACCTGCAATCTAACGACCACAGGGATTTTTAAACTTAGTTCCTTAGTCGCTGCGATGATACCTTCCGCTATGACGTCGCATCTCATAATACCTCCGAAAATATTAACTAGAAGAGCGTGAACCTACAAAAGAAAGAACACATATATGTAAAATATAAAATATTATTGCACAATGTCCATAAAGTCCTAAAATTTCTATAAACTTAAAAATAAAGGGACAAACATCTCTTGTTGAAGTCTCTTCTAAATTGAAGATATAATTATTTCATACGAAACGTCTCAAACATAAAGACTTTTGTGTTCCTTTATCGGGTTTGGTTTGCACTGCAGACGCCTCGCATTACGTAATTATATTGTATGTTGATCGATACCGCTTACTCACCCGTGAATCAGAAGTGATGATCTTAAATGCCTCTTTCACCGCAGAAGTTGACGCACCGCCACCAACGTCGAGAAAATTGGCCGGTTCGCCGCCGTGTAGTTTTATAATGTCCATAGTGGCCATAGCTAAACCAGCTCCGTTCACCATGCAACCTATATTACCATCAAGCGCGATGTAATTCAAGTCAAACTTGGCGGCCTCAACTTCTTTAGAGTCTTCTTGAGTCCAGTCTCTCAATGCAAACAATTCCTTCTGCCTGAATTCGGCGTTATCGTCGAACCGACACTTGCAATCCAAAGCAAAATCTATAAAAAGAAAGTAGTACATAAAATAAGTATAAAATAATTTGAAAATATTTAGTATTGAAAGAATTGTATCTTTCTTTACTAGAACATATAATGAATTATGAATCTATGAATCACATAAATTATCGTACTCACAGTTTCCGTTAATATCTTCAGCAAGAGGATTTACTTCTAAGAGCAGAGCGTCTTTCTTAAGGAACATTTGGTAGAGGTTCATAATTATGTTAGAAATGTAGTCCTTGACGTTCTCGAGGCCAAGCTTGGTAGTTATACGCTCCGCTTGTTCCTTTGTAATACCCTTTTTAAGATCGATAGGTTCATACATGATGGCACCTGGATTTGTCGCGGCGACCTCCTCGATGTTCACCCCACCTTGGCTGGATGCTATTATGACGGGACCCTGAAATTACGAGCGCTTGTCAGAATTCTCTTTCTCTTAACGTTTTATTTCAAACATATTAACTCTAATTTGGCAGTCATAGGTATATAAATTGACCCAAGCGAAAAATTAAGATTCCATAGCTGTTGAATCTTGGATCACTGAATCGTGAATGTTATTTCACATTTTGTATTGAACAATAATAGAATAATATATCGTGGGAAGCATCTACTTTTCGATGATTTTATTCCAATACTTTCGTACACAAAAAGATCAGAGGAATCGAAATTATGCCGAAAAAATCATGATTCTATTTAAAAAATTGAAGTTAATTTCGATAGGTATTTTCAACATCATTCTAAAATCAAATAGATATTACTATCTTCTCTTCCCTTGATATTTTATAATTTTTGTTGGAAATACTTTTTCACATCTTTCTTAATTTTTGAAATATTAAGTTGTAAAGTTGTGTAAGCCACCCTGTATACACTGTATCATATAACGCCCGTATCATACACACAACAGAGGTGTAACATCCACGCGGTACATCTTGAATAATGCTAATGCCGGCGGTACTGAAATTTCCAGGTCTCATAATTAGAAAAATATTTAATGACAAAATACATTATTATATTGTTTTGCAAAATTCTTGAAATTAGTTACAAGATTATACAATGAAAAATGGAGGTTTTTTTCATTTAAAAATGGAAGATGACCTTCACGTAACCTCAACGTTATCAAGGTCATACTAATTCTACTATGCGTGATTTAAAACCACACAACTTTTGTATGAAACATTTTTTAAGAAAATGCGTATTTTTCGAAAAAAAAAAACACCTGATACAAACGTTCTGTGACACCCTGTATACCCCACAGGACGCCTGTATATAGAGTGCGTCATCTCAATTTCATAATCTCTTGTGAAGATATAGAGCGGATTAAGATGAACAAAGAAGTCCAACCGTTTTACGAGAATCGCAATAATTAATAATCGAGATATTAATTGTGAAAGATTTGTAAATAATCAAGCATGATATGATAGACAGGCTACATTGACGATATCTGTCGTCGTGTACTTATACATTAGGTCAAATTGAGTAAAAAATTCTTCTACTATTTTGTAAATAACCATGTAGATTTTTAATTATTAGTTAAAGAAAATTGTTGCACGATTTTGCACAATAATACATCAATCTTCTTTAGTTAATAACTAAAAATCTATGTGGTCACTTGCAAAATGGAGGACTTTTTTGTTCAGTTTGACCTTATGTACAAATACATGACGACAGACGTCATTATTATTCATCTACCATCTCGAGTGTCATTATTTATAAATCTTCTTCAATTAATATCTCGATATTTATCACGAATATCGCATTAAGAAAAACGATATATGACTTTTATGTTCACCTCAATCCGCTCTACATTCTCATGAGAGATTGTGAAATCTCATACAGACTCAGTGTGTTAAAGCAACAAAAAATAAGTATGCCAACGAAGGGTTTCAAGTTTTAAATTAAACGTGCTTACACCAAAGGCTCTTTCCATCATGACAGCGAGGTAATACTCCTTGCGGGGGAACATACGTTGCGTCACCATCACGGCGTTGCATATCCGACCAGCTTCGCCGGTTTGCTTCGTGATCAGCAGTTTACCCAGCATCTGACCTGCCAATGCTTTAGCTTCTTCCGGTCTGTAAACAACAAAGCAGTAAAAGATGAAATAATTCTCAACATAGCCAGTTAAGTCATAACTCTTTTCTAGGATATTTTTGGAGCACAATCACATACGCAGTTATTACTCACGTTTCGCACATCTTTACTCCGCTAACGCTGGATCCTTTGAAGTGCCCTTTTCCTCTGCCGCCCGCGAGGACCTGAGCCTTCAAGACAATGTCCTTAGTTTTTAGGTCGGCAGCGAGTTTGGCCGCATCGTCGGGAGTTTTGGCAACGCCGAATTTTGGGGTAGGTACACCGGCCTCATTAAGTAAACTGTAGCTAATGTGCTCGTGTACATTTAAATTCCTGGTCTGCTGTTTTGCTGGGTTGATTTTGCACGCTAATATCTGGAAGTTTGTAAGGTACTACGATGACTAAACAATTGATTAAATAAAACGTTACTGTGTGCACACTTGTTTGCAGAACAGTTTGCATTTTATTTTCGATCTATTTTGAAACATCTAACATCAGAAAATGAGAAAATTTATTTTATAAGAATGATTTAAGATAGTTATATTTCTCATTAGATATTGTATATTCTCTTTTTCCAGTAGCATCAAATTGACCGCTCATAAATTTACTATTTATCATACAAAATCACGTTTTCATACATTTGTTTTACTGCTAATTTAAAATATACTTAAAATATACGCACACATATATATATACACAAAAAATATTGTTAACTAGTACTTAACACTTTTATATTTTATTTTTCTGATGAAAACATTATTTATGTATCAATTTATATAATAAAGATGTATAGTGTCAATTACAGAGTAGTTTAGATATAATAAAATTGAGAACTCACTAAAAACTATCAAAATTGAATGTCGTTACAGACGGGCTTACTCTGTAATAATATAATTGATAATAAGAAATAATTAATATTAATAATTAATTATATATTTATTGTGAAAACCCATGATAAACGATTCTCAATTTTGACAGTTTGGTGAGCTCCCGACTTTATTGTGTCTAAATTGTTTTGCAACTAAGTATAATATAGATAAATAGAGATATATATGTATTTTTAAATGTGTACACACACATACACACACACATACACACACATATGTATATATGTATGTATGTATATGTATGTATGTATATGTATGTATGTATATGTATGTATGTATATGTATGTATGTATATGTATGTATGTATATGTATGTATGTATATGTATGTATGTATATGTATGTATGTATATGTATGTATGTATATGTATGTATGTATATGTATGTATGTATATGTATGTATGTATATGTATGTATGTATATGTATGTATGTATATGTATGTATGTATATGTATGTATGTATATGTATGTATGTATATGTATGTATGTATATGTATGTATGTATATGTATGTATGTATATGTATGTATGTATATGTATGTATGTATATGTATGTATGTATATGTATGTATGTATATGTATGTATGTATATGTATGTATGTATATGTATGTATGTATATGTATGTATGTATATGTATGTATGTATATGTATGTATGTATATGTATGTATGTATATGTATGTATGTATATGTATGTATGTATATGTATGTATGTATATGTATGTATGTATATGTATGTATGTATATGTATGTATGTATATGTATGTATGTATATGTATGTATGTATATGTATGTATGTATATGTATGTATGTATATGTATGTATGTATATGTATGTATGTATATGTATGTATGTATATGTATGTATGTATATGTATGTATGTATATGTATGTATGTATGTATGTATGTATGTATGTATGTATGTATGTATGTATGTATGTATGTATGTATGTATGTATGTATGTATGTATATATGTATGTATGTATATGTATGTATGTATGTATGTATGTATATGTATGTATGTATATGTATGTATGTATATGTATGTATGTATGTACGTATGCATGGATGTAAATATATATATATATATATATATATATATATATATATATATATATATATAAACGTGATATACATCTTTATATATCTTTAATCACAATAGTTTCTTACCTAAATCTCATAAGTAGAGAATTTGAAAAATATTAAAAATAGAAATTAAAAATAATATGCTTGTCTCAAAGAACACGCATGAGAAGAGTCAACTTTGATTACAAATATCTTAACTCTCAGACGATAAATTTTTTTCTAATTGCGCGAGTTAGATAATATTTCACTGCGTATATAATGCAAATTTCATTAAATTCTCATGAAACTCGTTCCATGATACAACTGCTATAGTCGACATCAAATTACTAGTCTGCTTTTATTTCTGTGAATTTTGAAAAAAAAAGATATATATATATATATATATATATATATATATATATATATATATATATATATATCTACTACGTTTGAACGTAGCTTCAGAATTCACAGAAACAAAAGCAGACAACTTATCGGGCCACGATTGTTTGTAGACGACATGTTTGAGCGCCATTCTTCATTCAATTCTTACGCAATTCTTTCAGATTGTGTGTGTATACACTAAAAGTTAATATTATGCGTATTGATCAAACTACAGAAACTGATAACTAATTGTCAATGCGGCACATTGGTATCGTGTAGAAGATAAGACGAACAGGTTAAAGTACACGTGAATCACTATAAAACATGCGCGCCATTTATAGTGTATGGATTTCTACTCGAAGGCTAACTAGTGGCAATGAGTTATATATTCGTTACATACGCATCTTTTATGCATAACTTGGCAACGGCACTTTGTATGCAGCGAGTAAGATTGCATAATAACTTTTAAAACGACCAGATTCTTTTTCATTATACTTTATACTTTTTTTATTATATACTTTGAGATTTACTTTTTCCGGGATAAAGAATATCGAAGCTTCGATTATCGAAGCGAAAGTTCAACATAAACTCGTTTAACGAAGCCTATTCATATTTTTCGAATATTAAAGATCTAAAAAAAAATCAACTTCAGACATATTAACTCCTTCCAGGGACGAATTCCTCAAAGATCTAAGTAGTATTTATAGTCGGATCTTATATTTAAGATCGTCTTAAGTTTATCCTCAGATGTAATACAGATTGTTTCATTGGATGCATTCAATACTACAACCTGAGCGTTTAGTAAGCTCTTATATGTGATTGGTGTATTTTTTAGATCTAAAACAATAAATTAATCGAATATAAGAGCTTACTAAGTGTTCAGTGAGTGATCTTGTACACGCATTGACTATGAAGCATCTGAAAATGAACCTAAGATTACTTTAAATATAAGATCGGAATATAAATAACGTCCTATGATCTATAGGAGTAAACTTGATTTGGCTTTGGCAGTCACGTGCGACAAGAGCGCGAAACACAAGTTTATTCGTGTAGACTTTCGTTTTTTGATGGAAATTCTAGAAAAGCCTATTACACGAGTCTTCTCAAGAAGTTTTCGTAATTCCTCTTGTAGACTTTTAAAGCTCATATCAGATTGAGAATTGAAGGTTACAATCAGACCAATCAGGCAATTTAAATCTTGATTCTGCTTTACTTGATTGGTCAGATTGTAATCCTCAATATATAGTCTGATATGGGCTTTAATGTCTTTATCAGACTGAAGATTACAATCACACCAATCAGGTAATCTAAATCTTCATTTTGTCTTACTTAATTGGTCTAATTATAATTCTCAATCCATAATCTCTGATAGTCATAAGAGTCAGCAGAAGAAGCTATGGAGACTTGTCAAAGAAGCAAAGGCATTTGTCGTTTTTCAACCAAAATACGAAGAGAATCTCCTTTTAATTGCGATATTTGTAATCAAGATAATCGTCCTTAGGAGACTACAGAATGTTTTTTTAATAATCAGAATGAAAACTGAGTAATTTATTTGAGCAAATATTCGATTGAAAGTGCAACACGAGTTTATATTTTCTTTTATAATAAATTTTTAAAGACTTGCAAAATTCGACTCTATAGTCCCTTTGATATTTATACAAGACGAAAGTTTTGGGAGCAAATATAACGTCTGTGCGAAATACGACAAATTACAGATACTACGGAAAGTGCAGTCTAGCTCCTGAGTTAATTTCCGGCTTTTGCGTCATTGCGGAAGATATGCATTAATATTTGCATGTATATGGACATACATTTACACACAAAGACGGTGTTTTGCGGCTTATCGCACGCAGCTTCTAAAATCAAATCAGGATTTGCTCTTAGCTCTTGCCAGTCCTTCAGAAAATCAGAAAAAAATAATTTTGTTTTAAAGTAAAGTAAAATTAAGGTATTTTAATTAAGTTTTATTTTATTAAATTTAATATTTTATTATTTTATTAGTATTAAATTTTATTTTATTTTAATTAAAAAAATGATTTTGATTTTGATAAAGTAAAATAAAATTAGTTCTTTTTTAATTTTAAAGTGACATAAATATCTGTCAATCGTATGATGAAATTTCTTTTTTTCTTGTCGAAAATATTTGTTCACAATATTGTTGTTCGTTATACCATGATCGTTATACCATGATCAGTAAATTAAAAGAATTAAAAGAAAAAAATTAACATATCTCTCCTTCTCATACATACATATGTATCAGTATCCTTGAGAAATTTAAAAGATTATAGACTTATAGAGAAAGACTGTGCATTTTTATTGGAGAGTTGGAATTAATATTAGTAGAAGAGGATGATAGAGAGTAAGATGCTTTCTTTGTCTAATTATCTACTTTTTTTTGTTTCACTCTTTCTTTTGTTTCTCCTGTATTGTTCTCTCCTAGAATTAAAGTACTGTGTATGTTTTTGACTTAACATTATCTCTGTCCTTTAATCGTTATCAGCCATCTACTAAGAGCATGCAGTCTATGCTATAAGTCTATGATCTATTTCTTCTTTCACTTTCATGCTTTGTTCTTTTTTTGTTTTCTCTACAGTACTGTATGACAAAGCATCTTACTCAACATATTTTTATCTTTTACTTTACTTATTTCTATAAATTTTCTTATTATTTTTATGTAAACAACTTACTAATGAAACAACTTACTAATGAAATGAATGTCAAAGTTTTTACCATAATTTTACTTTAAAAAATGAAAAGAAACACGGGTATAAAATATCTTTTATATTTCCTTTTCTTACACATACCTTCGCTATGTTTGCGCATTTACATTAATTTATAAGATGAAAATGTGACTTTTTATTTCATGTCGGCGGCGTAAACGGGTCATTGACTTCGACAACCGAACACGTGCACCAACATCTGTCTCCCTCCTTCTCTCTCTCTCATTTTTTTCATTCCAAGAAAGCGTGATTTGACCAAATTCTTTCAAGAGAGAGAGAGAGAGAGAAAGAAAACCGACGGTCGACGAGGTTTGCTGTGTGCACGAACGATCGATTGACTATTTTTTCTCGCTCTGGTCTTCATTAGCGCGCACTCGAATCAACCTTCCCGAAATAGAACGACGATCATGATCATTGACCACGCGCGCGCGCTCGATCGTTTGACAAGTGTCTCTCTCCCCCTGGATAATCCCATTAAACTCAATCAAACGCGAACGGATGTCAAGCCCCATGGGATAGAGGAACGTCAAAAGGTCGACATGATCGAGATGCAGAAGGCATTTGCGTGATTGCGTAACCGCTGGACGAATTTTTCGTAGAAAAACGCACGATCGACCAAGCACTGGCTTGGTTTCGAATCGCTTGACCCTGGCGCTCAATTTAGCAGACCACTTTGCGGTCCACTATGGCGGAACGTCCTTCTCCGCTCTCTGTCTCTCTCTTTCGCACTGGCGCGCTCCTCTCTCACACAAGCGAGTCCTCGGCGTTCGTGAACGCAGAGATACTTCTGCGCGTTCTTTCCCGACAACGAACGACGCATTACAAGTGTCCATTCCATCTCGACGTGAAGGTTCGCCCGCTCACGTACCTTGGAGCTGTTGAAACGGCCGAGACTCTCCGCGAGTGAGATCGCCCGCGATAACATGGTTGCCATCTTAGCTCGAGCGACGGCGACGGACTGGCACTGAGCGCGAATTTCAGTCTCACCTTCCCCACCTTGCCCTGCCCTGTCTTGTCCTACCTTGACGTTTCGCACGCTCGCGCAACGTGACGCAAAGTCTATGACGCAGCCTCGCACCACGGAGCGACACAAAGGCTGCGTTCGCTTTGGACGCTTACGCGCTGTAAGCGTTATTCTATCTTTATCGCTGATTATACACGGGTAGAAGATAGAATGACGCTTATAGCGCATAAGCGTCCAAAGCGAACGCAGCCAAAGTCCACGATGTTGTTGTGCGAATCACGACTGCAGCGCCACTTGAATTTGAAAAATCATTCTCAAATAGCTTGGCAATAGAGACTTCGAAACGAAAGAAAAATCGTATTTAAGGCTTCTGGGTACTCGCGTAGGCTGTCTTTGTTCGAAGCAAAAAATCACATGCTCACGATTCTTCTTGCGTTATACGCAAGAAATAAAAAGATATATACACTTAAATTTTGAAAACACTCATATGGATGTCAAATAAATAGTCAATATATTGAATAAAATATTGAATCATTCTTATAATTTAAATAAAAACTATAAAAAATCTTTATTGCGATACTTTTATTTTTTACATAATAAACCCAGATAACCAAACCTGCGTGAACAGATTTTGAGCAGAGCTTGCTATCAACTTTTGATGGCAAATAGATAACAAATTTGATGCAGGATCTGTTATATCAAATCTTGCTGCCAAATTGCCGCCAGATATGCGGCAAAGCTTGTTGTCAGATAATTGCTGCTGATTTGCAGCAAAAACCGCGCAGAGTTTGTAGCGATTTGACGGCAGGTTGGCAGCAGAAACGACGCAGACCTTGCTGTGTTGCAAGCTTTGCGCGTTTTTGCTGCAAATTTGGCACCAATTGCTCGACAGCAAGATCTGTCAAAACCGCCAATCTGCCAAAACCGTAGCCTAATGTAGACACAGATGGCTATGGTTTTGCTGTGGGTTTTTGATGAAATTTGCTGCCAATCTGCGCGCAGTCTGCGCTCAATTTGCTTACTGAGAAGATTGAGGACATTATTGTATTAAAACTGATATTTATTGAAGTGGATGAAATATTAATTTATTAATATAAAACATTGCACATATATTGTAAGGTTATAAACTAACATTGCATATACATGCACGCACATAGAGATGTATAAATAAACTAAATACTTAGATCTAAAAATAAATTAAAAAGTAATAAAATACAATGTAATGTTTCTAAGAATATTCGATTAGCTAATTGGCTTACTGATAAGTTTTGCTGCTTACGTATCTTTATGTGTATAGTATAAACTGTAGTAAAATAATAGTAGTATAGTAGTAGTATAGTAGTAGTATAGTATTAGGAGTACAAATTAGTTCGGTCCGTTTTCAAAAGATAACTCTGGCTGTTATGAATGTTTCATAGTGACAGCTGATTTCGGTGGTTTCAGAGAGATTAGACATCTGTCAAAAATATTCAGTTTATATCGCTTTGAGTTTCATATAAAACCCCTATTTTTTACAGTGTTGAATATGTCAAATTTTATGTTAACTAAGCAGCATTTGCGGGAGGTTTTAGTGCTTTAATTGGAAGTTTTTCTGCTTTAATTGGAAGAAAAGTGCAGCTGAAGCGCATCGAATGCTTGTAGAAGTTTATGGTGACAATGCTCCAACTGATAAATAATGTAGGGAATGGTTTCGACGTTTCAAGAATGGTGATGGCAGTCCATACTTATGTAGTCAAAGGTTTTGAAAGACATGATTGAAACAGACTCGCCTTTATCAGTTCAAAATAGTGGCTTTTACATCGTGCACTTGATACGCGTACTAAATAGTAACTTTCTATTAGATAATCTTAATATCGACGATATATATAATCAATGGTATATTAAGTTGGTATAATACTCATCAAGAAAACGTATTGTATTGATTGAATGCGTCGTCGTTGATATGCATTGTCAATATTAAGATTATTCCCTAATAGCACAGATGTCCAGGGGACATCCAGAAGACATCCTGAGGCATCCTGAGGACATTCTTCGTCCTCAGGACGTTCTTAGGGCGTCCTCAGATCTTGTGCTATCTGGGTTGTTACGTCCCGGCGGGTTGCGGCCACGCTGCCGTGAAGAATAGCGCTCGAACCCTAGCACGGGGTTAGATCGCAATTTTTCGGGCTAAACAAATCGCGTGATTCTACCCGGGAATCCGTGCGATCAAGGGTAATCGCGATGGATTTCGTGCAAGAGGCGTAGTATAACCACCGTAGTGTAACC